GCAGCAAGGCTCTCATCACTCGATGGGCGGACCGACGCACATGCGTTTATCCGAAACCTTGAAGATTGATATCTCAAGGTACAAGGGAGCTAACGAAGATTCCCTTATGATACGGTTCGTCGAGTTAGACGATGCCATCAGGTCCCTTCACATCGAGGGTGACGAGATGCAAATCACCTTCGCCCTGTCAAATTTGACAGGACGAGCAAAGACTTGGGCCTTAGGTCTCAAGCTTCACAACCCAAACGTGTTTGAGTCGTTGGAGATTTTGAAGTCCCGGCTTAAAAGACGTTTGAGCCGCCGAGAGCCTAGTGCAGAGCACGCTCTACACTCTTGAGGCTAAAGCAAGGTAAGCGTGACGTGCTCGCTTACGCATAGCACCTGCGCTACCTTGCGAGTTGCATTACGGATAATCCTGTTGATGAGCATACGCTCATCAACGTGTTCATCTACGGCCTTGTAGATGTACCGGTGGAGACCTACATGCTCCGAGAGGACTCCCATACGCTGGAAAGGGCGATAGCGTATGCGGAACAAGAAGACTTCAGCCTGAGACAGTCTCAGGCTAACTCGTCCAACTATCGTCCGACGAGGCGACAAGAAACAGGAGGTCCCGAACCAATGGACCTCTGTTACATCGAGAGCCAGAACTCACTCTCTCTGAGTCACAAGCGGACGGCAAGATGCCACCACTGTCAGATTGGACACTACGCTCATGAGTGTAGTGCCCCGAGTTCTGCGACACGTCCGAAAACAGGACGTGATGACCGTCGTTGGCCAAGGATTGGTACGAGGCTTGAGTCCGACCATGTCGCCAAGCCGCGACAGCAATTCGGACCGTCAAAAACGGTCAGGGTCAGTAGGGGCGAAGCACCCTGCTGATCCAGCAATGTCAAGAGAATTTGCAGGACTCTTGACGAAGATTGCTCCCAACACGCAGTCTCTGTGTCTTACTGCCCTTAGTGATGAGGAGTCTCTCATCACTTTAAAGATTGAGGTGACAAGTGGAATGTCACTTCGCGCCCTAGTTTACTGTGGTGCGTCAAACAGTTTTATTCGACGCCAGTCGCTAAGGGATAGTAGTCTCAACAAGTTGATCGAGAGTTCCCTCCAACGAGGATGAAGGGGTGCCTTGCTACAGGCGCATCCGTAACAGTGGACAAACGTGTAGTGGGAATCCACTACACGCTAGAAGGAAAAGAATACGATGATGAATTTATCGTGTTGGTTTTGGATGACAAATTTGATGTCAGCCTTGGTCTTCCATGGCTTAAAAGGTACCGGCCATGGGTTAGCTGGCAGCATCGATCCGTAAAGATGCCTGCCGTTTGTTCATCGGATGGCCATCTGATGAACGTCTTGGAGCTTCCACAAGCGTGTGGATGTGAGTGAGATGGCCTAACTTGTGGTACGGTCGTTAGTACGATTGCACAAGATCACAGTGTAGAAGGCCACTACACTGTGGAACCAGCTTCCGGCACCTGTGTAGAGACACAGGCTGCGCCGACGGTTCACCACTCGAAGAGATCGAGTGGACTGGAACACGGATGCACGCCAAGAAGGGTGCATCCGAGAAGGAAAAGTAGTGTTGTTCAGGATGGACAACACGTTAAAGCGAGATCGACTAACAGAGAGTCGATCGTAGAGCAAGTCCGCTCGACTGAAAGAGTCAATCGAAGAGGACGTGACTGTGGTAGTACCCGTAACGGAAGAAATTTTTGGCGTTCCTGAGAGCAACAACTCCAGATAGAGTTATGTTGAGTGCGTGGATCCCCAACCACCTGTGGATGTGTTTTCCCAGGAAATTACCGAGTCAGTGATTGTCTTGGTGATTGACGGATCAAGTGTAGGCGCTTATACACTTGATCTGGTGACGCCCCCGAAGTCAGCTTCGGAGGAGTTCAAGTTGCCAACACTAGAATCTAAAAGATTCTTGCGAGATCTGCGTAGTGACAAGATCGAGCAGATCTGCGTATTCGTCACAGAGGACGAGTACGTCGCCGATATTCGCTAGGCACAAGTGTGCGCTGAGAAAGAACGGTTTCTCAGTAGGTCATCAATGGACGAAAGTGTCCTCGATGAGAGGACCCGGATTGAGCGTTGCACGTCTCAATATTGGGAGTTTTGAATGACATATCCTTTGTATAAGGATTTAGTGGAATTCAGGGATGTTTTCCCTGAATCAGTGCCATGCGAGCTGCCCAATGAGAAAGGCATTCGGCGTGAGATTTAACTGAAACCTGATTCGAAATACTGTGTCATGAAGCAGTGGCCACTGCCTCGTGAACAGGTCACGTCGATCGACAAATCCTTTCCGATCTATTAGCGGCTGGTCATGTGAGGGAAGCAACTTCCCCACACAGCTCTCCGACCTTCTGAGTGTGAAAGGCCACAGGAGGGTTGCGGATAGTGCACGCATCTAACAAATTGAACGCTGCAGCGGTACCGGCTCAAACGCCGATCCCAAGGAAGGATATCATCACTGTTGGTATGGCAAAGAGTACCATCTTTTCATCCATAAATCTGAAGGATGCATTCTGTCAGATCCTCATGCGTGAACGGAAAATTCCTTACACAGCAGTGAGCACCCCCAGTGGTATGCTCTGGGAGTGGCTAGTAATGCCACAGAATCTAAGTAACGCGCCCGCAACTTTAAAATATGTGTTACGAATCTGTTGCGATCGGTGCGCGACTTCGCACCGAATTAATTTGACGATGTCTTCGTCCATAGCCGGGCTGTGGATGGAAAGACGGAAATGGAGGCATATAGGATCCACGTCCGGAAGGTTCTTACGCTAGTGCGAGAGCATAAGTTGTTCGCGAACCTCAAGAAGTGGATATTCGCAGCGAACGGAATACCACTTCTTGGCTGCATCGTAGGTAAAAACGGTGTACACCCTGATCCCGAAAAGATCAAGGCGATTAGCGACTGACCAGTCGTCGTCAAGGGACTTCGAAAGTTCCTTGACTTGGCAGCGTATTTGAACAAATACTCGCGCAACTATGCCAAGATTACCTTACGCATCTCTCGTCTGCTCAAGAAAAACGATAGGTGGTCATGGAGTGCTGAGTGTCAGCACCCTTTCGAAGCTATCACGAAAAGCTTGACACAATCGCCTGTGTTGGCGATTGCAGATCAGGATAGGCCATTTTGTGTGGTCTGTGACGCCAGCGATTTTGCAATCGGCTGCGCGTTAAATTAAGTACGACTCAGACGGCGTTGAGCGCGTCGTCTGTTATCAATCGCTTCAGCTGGAAGCAGCTGATCGTTATTATCCGGTGCATGACTAGGAACTCCTTGACGTGACATATGCACTGGCTAAGTATCGGTTATATCGCACAGGAGATAGGCCCTTCATCGTTTATACCGACCGTGCGTCGTTACGCACGGCCATAAACAGTTCACGCCTCTCGCAACGAATGGCGGGGTGGCTGTCTTTCTTCGCGGGGTACAACTTCCTTGTCGAGTACAAAACAGGACGACTTAATGTCGTCGCTGATGCTCTTTCGCTTCGGCCCGATTTCGAGCCGTCTGCTCAACCCAACAGTAGGGGTGATCCTACTGTCGCGAAACTAACAGTGAGTGTTCTGTCGTCGAATCTGCTCAATGACGTGCGAAAAGCATACGCGGAAGATGAGTCTCTTCTGAGGTTGATGGATTACGTATCCAATCCGTGTAATCAAGCTTTGAAAAGCTTGTCGTCTCAATAACGCTCTTCATTTGGACGGTATTCTGTCCGTGATGGACTGCTGTACTATACAGCAGTCAACAGCGACACACCTCATTTCGTCGTTCCTGCTCATAATGATTTACGATTGCGCATCATGTCTGAGTGTCACGATGCCTGAACAAGTGGATATCGCGGTAGAGAAAAGACTTACCTCATGGTGAGTCGTGACTTCTACTGGCCCCGCCAGTATGGGTTTGTGCGGAAATACATTCGCGCTTGCGAAGTTTGTTGACGGGCGAAGCCTAGACCTTCATCCCGCGCACCCTTACAGCCTCTTCCAAATCCGGTAGAGTGTTGGCAGTCCGTATCGATGGACTTCGTCTCCGGGTTTCCCAAAGACGTTCACAAGGATACTAGTATTCTTGTGTTCGTTGATCGAATCAGCAAGATGGTACATATTGTCGCTGTACCAGAGTCAGTCACAGCCCAGGGCTGTGCGCGTGTCTTCATCGATACTATCTTTCGACTTCACGGGTTACCCCGTGAACTCGTGTCCGATAGGGACCCCCGCTTCACAGCGGAGCTCTGGCAATCCGTGTTCCGTTCACTTGGAACACGTTTGACGATGTCAACTTTCTGACCATCCCGAAACAGATGGTCAAACGGAGCGCGTCAAGCGCGTTCTCGAAGAGATTATTTGAGGGTCAGTCGACTCGTGGACGAGCTGGAACACGTTCTTGCCGATGGCGAAATTTGCCATCAACAACTCGGTACACGCGTCTACAACGCATACACCGTTCTTCGTGAATGGCCTACGCCATCCACGTTTACCCGCCTTCTTAGAGTGTGACTCTAGTTGAAGGGGGGGGGACTCGCTCGAACAAAAACCGATCAGGTTCTTGCTCATCACTCGTCGACGTGATGGATGTCGATAACGACGATGCTGGCATATTCAGCATCTCCATGACCTCCAAAGTGAGGACGATAATACCCTCACTGGTGACGTCAACGTTCTTTCAGCAGTCACTGGTGAATACAACATTCTTTCAGCAGTGCACGAAGCGCACTGCTGTTGACAAGGATGAATCAGCAAGTAAATTATTGCCGACTCGCGCAGCGGCTGTCCGCTTCGTTCAAGACCATATTTCAGATGCACTGGACAGACAGAAGCGAAACGCAGACAAACATGGAAGAGTAAATGTTCTTTCATTTGATATAGGAGACCTAGTTTTACTGTCTACAGTAAACTTACCGAAGCACGCAGTGACAAACGTGGGCAGCAGTAAAAAACTGCCCAGGTACATCGGTCCATTTCGTGTGTTGTGCAGCATGGGCAACGCATACACGATTGAACTGCCTCGAAGAATGCGTACGCATCCAACGTTTTACGTTGGACGTCTCCGCACTTACTATCAGCACGAGCCCGTTTCGAGAGGCAAAGAGCACCTCCACGGTCGAGAGCCGAGACCACCTTCGAGTGGTCCCGTTTCAACGAGCCAGTCTGTTCGACTTGCGAAGCGACCTGTTCACGCAGCTCAGCGATGTCTTGACGAGCTGCAGCCAGCTCATCACGAAGAGAACGAGTCGAACGTTCGTTCTCAAGTTGCGCGAACGCAAAAGCGGTACGATATTCCGAACGATCGTGCGTAAGGGAATTATAGTTATCCCTCTCAAGATCCTCAAGACCGTAACTCCGATTTCTTTAATGAGCCAGGTCATCCTGCAACTGTTCTGTTACACGGTTCAGCTCTTGAACATCCAGCTTGATCCGACCTTTGAGCCAGATCAGGTTTTCCCACCGCCACCACATCCTTTCGTGGACTCAAGCGGTGGTCAACGCTTCCTAGTGGCGCGTATCTTGAACCACCGCAATGTGAATGGCGTCCGGACGAGTTACCTCGTTCGCTGGCGTGGCTACCCACCGGCCTGGAACAGCTGGGAGCCTCTTGCTCAGCTGATTGTTGACATCCTTGGTCGCGTCGAGCATTACGACGAGACCCACCCGCTGCGTTTGAAGAAAGGACGTCGGAAAACGACCTCCCCGAACACGAGTACAGGGACCGCAAGGTATCAATCCTTTGGCCATCTCCGAAGAGATGTGCCCCCTCCAGTAGGGAAGATTAGGGAGGGAGGCCTCCCTAGGGGCACGGTTCGAATTGTCCAGGCAACCCGGACACGAATAACCCTACGAGAGACAGGGTAATCCTGCCTCTCTTAAAAGCCGGTGCAACTTGTAGCGCGCCCCGACGGGGTTGCGTTTCTCAAACCTGATGCGAGCTGCATCAAGTTTGGCGAGCCAAGCCTCACGGCCAATACACTCGATGTTGTGGATGAGGGCATTTCATCCCTGCACCAAAGCTTTGGCATCTCGCACACGGCTACCATATACCACCGATGTTTAAAAAACCTTTCGCTGTAGAACTCTTCCTCAGCACGGATGGTTTTAGTGCTGGAATCAGGCGGACAAATCTTCCTGCAATCGAACAGCGGGATTCGATCCCGTTCGGTGGTCGTGCCGGCCAACCGGCCCAACTCTCTGGATGGCGGCATCCACGGAGACTCCACTTGAGGAGCGTGGCGCAGGACATTTCGGTCCCTGGCCTCTCAATTGGTGCCAGCATGAGCACTGCCACCAGTGTTACCCCGTTTTCTTGAGCTGCTTCGCTCGTGGTGATGCATAGGTGCAGCACTACCATCTCCACGCGTCCTATCGCTGGATGGACTTGCGTGAGGCGGAGACTCGTCGGAGTCATCACTCGATCCGAAGATCTAGGTCATGATGCTGCCGCGCTGACCAGAGCCAGTCAGCCTGTCTTTTGCAGCGTCCGCCCCGGGTGATCCCGAGGCGTGTAGAATCGCCTTCGAGTCGGATGCATCATCCGACTCGCCATAATAGATGAGCTCTATCTCAGACTCGTCTGAATTACGATTCTAGGTACCCGCTGCAGACGCAACGGACGTACCTGTCGCACGTGGTGACTCACCACGTGGAGGATTCACGACAACAGGCGACGAATCGCCTGCTGCTGAGACGTGAGAGGCACTTTCCGCGGCCGCACGCATGCGTGCAGCCGCTCCTCTTGCTGCTGCAGTAGCAGCTCGCGTGGTTTTGGAAACCATGCGTTGGATTGGCAAATGAATGAAATTTGACCAACAAGTGCTCCCTTTCCCAGGGTGATCCAACGGTGGTCACCCTGTCCCAATCAATCATAATTTAATCAACGGGTGATTGATTGTTAATGGGGGGAAGCTGTAACGGGGTAGCCCGTTTCATGAAATTGACACCAAACGGTGTCAATTGGAATATTGTCTAGTATGACAATGTTCTACCGATATTGTCCGGGATGGGTTATACTGATGGCATGTGTTTCCCCTTTTGGATATTGTTCATTCGCTTCTCAAAGACTGGTTGATATAAGACATATCAACCTTAGATTGCCACCAATCGCTGCTAGACGAGCGCAATGAGTGGTGAGCAGGTTGTCGTCATACGACGGGGGGTAGTTTAATATAATTAGATAGAGGTTAGAGTCAAATTGATAGCTTAACTATATTAAATACAGTTCTCTTTTTTACCTGACTTGATCGAGTCGTTCAAGTACATTAGCTTCCTCTGCACGTACTAGTGTACGTGAAGTTTCGCAGCACCCCAAACAAAGGGTGCCCCATTATAAAATTTGCCGGATGTGGGGCCTGTATTGGCTTTGAGCAACTTGAAAGGGGTGTTCGCAGTATATTAAGGCTGTACATGTATCTCAGTCGGCTAAGGCACCTGCACCGGTGGACGTCTGGACGAAACGTCCGACACGGCTGAGTCACCACTGTCTGAGCTGCCGCTTCTGAAGACTGTTGCAATTCAGGCTGCCGGCAGGCCATCTTACTCATCTCTTACAGACCGATAAATGGTTATGTCGGGTTTTTGACATCGTGTAGCTCCTCTTCTTTAGACCTCAACACCCCTCAAACTCCGGAGTTGCGCGTCTGTAAACTGACACTGTGCCGCAAAGTGACCCAGGTTGCCACAGTGTTAACATTGTAATTGTCGACCGACGTATGAGTGGTTGATAGTGATCAATGTTCCAACTAAAGATGTAGCACAATCCCTTGTAGAAAAATGGGGCACCCCACCAGAAAAAGGTGAAATTTCAATCGTTATACGTCCTAGATGTGGGAGTGCACGTATCCATATTCTCCAGCTTAAAAGCAGTGGAGACTTTGGAGCGGAATACGCTGTGATGAGCTCAATCTCATTTAACTGTGTCACATTATAAAGAAATGTATAGTAATCAGTGCAGGAGTATCAGATCCTGACCGTCAGGTCCCCGTTCACTTAGCCAAACGAATCTCCGTCGCGCCTTGTGTACAATCTCGAGAGTGTACACATGCCCCTGGAAAAGTATGCGGACATCCTGAACCTCGTGTGCTACTTCCCTTGAGAAAAAAGTAACAACGAATTGTCCGGAATGAGCGTTTGCAGCTTATAGCTTTTGTGCCCAAGATCAGGCAAGCATACCCGCAGCAGCTCCGCTACTTCCCGAATAATCTTCGTGATCACGTTTAAAATCTGCCGGCCAATCGAAATGAGACGCCCTCTGCCTAGAGTGAGGACGAGTTGCTCTCACCTGAGCCTGGAAGGCTCAATTGAGCCTGGATGATGCTATGCAGGCGAAGACGCTCCTCACTGTCTTGGAAGGATAGGAGAAAGTATGGCATTCGGCGACACGCAATGTGCCCTTCAGCTTTGCCCGTGATGATTCGCCTTCATCGTTCGTGCCTTCCCGTAATCGTTCAACGTGGACAGGTCCGAGCCGTGCAGTATATAAAGTCCTATTTTAGATGCCGCGTCCATTTAAACACGGCTGGTTCAAACATAAATTCCTCATGCACTAGAGCAGGGGACCCCACCAGGCCATTGACCTAACGGTGACCACATCAACATGATATTGACTTAGTGACGATTGTTAAAGGGGGGGGTGATGAAACGGGGCGAGCCTGTTACGTGTGAGTAATCTTGATACTTGTTAATTACAATAATGTCGTAAAGGTTGATAATGTTCGTGACTATTATCAAACGATGCAATATTCAGAAACACTCACCGAAATGTTGATATGAGCCATCACATCAGCCAGCCCCAGCGGTCTAATTGACGATGGACGCGCGCAATGAGTGGTTAGCAAGACTTTAGCATACACTTTTGTAAATAAATATGATTGAGTTTGGACTGAACATAGGTACATATACTACGACTCGTTTTTCTTCTAAAGTTTTACTTTCTACTCCTATTGAACGGTTCGTTCACTAGCCAGACTTCCTCTGCACGTACGGTGTACGCGAAGTGACGCACGACTCGAACCACACTGTTGTCAGTGTAGGCGCACTAGCACCGAAGCAGTACTATTGACCAGTGCTCCGTTGCATCGATCATCACGGATTAAACTCGGGATTATATATCATACTTACAAAGTATATCTTTTTATAGCGGTAACTGTCGTGTAACCTCGTTACAATTGAAGTCAAAGGTGTACCCCAGAAAAGCATACATGCTGCTGCCTGTAACGGGGTGAATCGTTACATAACAATTTATAAGAAATTGTTAATAGAATATAACTATAAGAGTTATATTCTCAGAATATTGTCATAAGGACAAATATTCTGTAGCACTTACATGTAGTTCCTAATTGGTTGATATAGGCCATTATATCAACCAACGAAGACGCGCCACGACAGACGCACGCAATGAGTGGTGAGCAGATAACTGATTTACACATTTGTATTTAGACATAGTTAGATGAAGATAAATAGTGATTTATTGCAGACATTAACTATTATAAATACAGTTCTACTTTTTACTCTAACCAAGTACTCGCTTCTTCTTACCGTCTTCCTCTGCACGTACGAGTGTACGTGAAGTTACGAGGCACCGCCTTATTCTGTTATCAGAATAAGTAGCTTGTACTGTCACCAGTACAAGCTTCAGGGTGCCCCGTTACACCTGGTAGCACTTCGTAGTCCGTCCAAGGACCGCGTTCACATCCAACATGAATATGTTGGATGATGAAGATGACCAAAGCTTTCACGCTACGCGTGACGGCTACTCCCATTTGAGCGATGTCGAATGGGATGCGGTTGAACGAATGGGTTCGACCATGGGCATCCATGCTGTTAGCGTCATGCTAGAGGCTCTCAATAGAGACGCCCAACATGCTACTATCGCCAAGTTCATCCAAAATGAACTTGACGCTGAACGCGAGAAAGTAGCCTTGCTTCACCAACAAGGTTTTCAACAAGCAGAGTTGTTGAGAGAACAAGGTGCTCAACAGTTTGAACTGTTGAGACAGCAGCAGGCTGCTGCTGGCGGGTCGATGCACTCGCGTCGGCCCGAGACTTTGAAGATTGACATCTCAAAGTATAGAGGGGTCGAAGAAGACTCCCTCTTGAGATGGTTCGTCGAATTGGATGACGCCATAAGGGCGCGTCGCATCGACGACGGGGATATGCAAGTTGCATTTGCCCAATCAAATCTGGCAGGACGTGCCAAGACTTGGGCACTGGGGCTCAAGCTGCACGACCCATATGCGTTTGGGTCGTTGGAAGTCTTCAAGTCGCGGCTCAGACAAACGTTTGAACCGCCTAGAGCTGAGTTCAGGGCTCGAACCGAACTCTTGAAGCTCAAGCAGGGTAAGCGTGATGTGCACGCTTACGCTCAACACATACGACATCTTACGAGTTGTATAAGTTCCAATCCAGTGGATGAACACACGTTGGTTTCGGTGTTCATGCAGGGTCTTGCGGATGGTCCCGTCAAGACTCACCTGTTCCGGCTTGAACTAGATTCACTAGAACAAGCCATTTCCATTGCGGAGCAGGAAGACTTCAGTCTGAGACAGGCTCGCGCCAGCTCGACATAATATCGTCAACCGAGACGATATGACAACGGAGGTCCAGAGCCGATGGAACTCTGTTATGTAGAGAGCGAGAAGGATCGCTCTACAGGCTACAAGAAGTTGCAGAGATGCAACAGATGTCAAAAGACAGGACACTACGCTTACGAGGTGTAGTGCCCCTCGTCCAGTGTCTCGCGACACTGGGCGTAGTGACCGTCCACCCATGAGAAAGGGGCAGGGACGAGGGTCCGCAGTTGGTGCAAAGACGCAACAACGGGATGGACCGTCAAAAAACGGACAGGATCAGTAGGTGCGGAGCACCCTACTGATCCAGCAACGTCAAGAGAATTTGTAGGCCTCTTGATGAAGGTTGCTCCCAACACACAGACGTTGTGCGTTGCTGCTCTAGGTAATGAGATCTCACTCATTACCTTGAAACCCGAAGTGACGAATAAGTTGTCCCTTCGAGCTCTAGTCGATTGTGGGGCGTCCAACAATTTGTGCGACACCAATCGCTAGAAGATGGTCACTTTAAATTCAGTGAATGTGACACACCTCCTACGAGGATGATGGTACGTCTTGCGACAGGCGCATCCGTAGCCGTCATGAAGCGTATAGTGAAGATCCACTATACGCTAGAAGATACCCAATATGACGATGACTTTATCGTATTGGTTTTGGATGACAAATTTGATGTCATCCTTGGAATACCGTGGCTTAAAAGGTACCAGCCATGGGTTAGCTGGCAACATCGAACAGTAAACAATGCCTGCCGCTTGTTCAAAAGATGGCCATCTGATGAACGTTTTGGAGCGTCCACAAGCGTGTGGATGTACTACGAGTGAGTGCGATGGCCTCACTTGTGGTACGGTCGTTAGTACGACTGCACGAAACCTTAGTGTACCGAACGGTTACACTTCGGAGCAAAGTTCCGGCGGCTGTGAGGAAACACAGGCTGCGCCGAAGGTCCACCACTCGAATAAGTCGGGTGGACTGGGACAAAGATGTATCCCTAGAGGGGAACATCTAGAAGAGAAACAATCGATTGCTCAGGTTAAGCGAAACGATAATCCTAGATCGACTGGAGAGTCTTTCGTAGAGGATCTCGCTGTGGTTGCGCAACCCCAGCTAGAGGAAGTAAAGGGAATAAGTCCCAAGATTACAAATACGGCGGAAATAAGTTCCCCGAAACCCGCGGGAATAAGTCCCCGGGAAGACGAAGGAATAAGTCCTTC